TTTTTGCATCTGTGTTCATTGAAGAGATTGGCCTGTAGTTTTCTTTTTTGGTTGGATCCTTGTCTGCGAATCAGAGTAATGCTAGCTTCCAAGAACGACTTTGGGAGTACTCCTTTCATTTAATTTCATTAAAAAATCTCAAGGAGAGGGCCAGGGATTTAGCTCAGTGGCACTGTGCCTGCCTCACAAGCTCAAGGTCCCAAGTTTGATCCCCTGTACAAAAAAAACCTCAACGAGTATTGATGTTAGGAACTTCCTTGACATCTTTGTAGAATCTAAACCTGGGCTTCTCTTAATTGGTAGGTTTTTAATTCCTGCTTCACTTTTATTGTCTTATTTTGGATTATTCAGAATTTTTAAATCTTGGTTCACTTTTGGTAATTCATATGTATCTAGAAATTTATCCATTTCTTCTGAATTCTTCAATTTATTGGTATACAGGTTTGCAAAGTTGTTAATGATCTTTTTATTTTGGCAGTGTATGTTGTGATTTCATCTTTCTCATTTTTAATTTCATGGATTTGTGCCTTTACTTTTTTGGTTAGATTGGCTAAGGATTTATCTGTCTTCTTTTTTTGGAAAAACCAACTCTTCAATTCATTGTTTGGTTTTTTCCCCCCTTTTGGTCTTAATTTCATTTATTTCTGCTCTGATATTTATGATTTTCTTTGTTGTAATAGCTTTGGGTTTGGATTATTCTTGCTTTTCTAGGACCTTGATGTGCACAGTTAGGTTATTTATTTGGTCTCACTCTGTTTTTGTGATTTGGGTCTTTATAGTTATTAACTTCTTTGGACTGCTTTTATTGTGCCACCTAAGTTTTGGTATGTTTTATTGACATTGTTTATTTGTAGAAACTGTTATTTCTTTATTTCTTCTGTAACTCACTGCTTATTTAAGAATATATTGTTTATTTTCAATGCATTTGGATAATTCATCTTTTTTCATTTGTTATTTTTTCTAACTTCATTATACTATGATGTGATAATATGCATCATAATTTTAATTGTTTTACATTTACTTAAGCTTTCTTTATTGGCTAAAATGTGGTCTGTTTGGGGGAAAGTTCCATGTACTGCTCAAAAGAATGTGTATTCTGTTGTCGAGTGGAACACTTTGTAGATATCAAGTCCATATATTCAAAGGTTTTGTTCAATTTTGATATTTCATTGTTTTTTGTCTAGTTAATCTATTTGTGATAGTGTGACATTTTGTTAATATTTCTCTGTTCTTTTATATCCAGCAGTACTTGTTTTGTGTTCCCTTAACCAATAGGTAGTGATCTTCTTTGCCTCTGTTGATCAGTTTTGGTCTTGAAGTCCACTTTGTCTCAATATAGAAGAGCTACACCTACTTTTTGGGGGGTTCCCATTGCGTATATTTTTTCCATCACTTAGTTTTAGTCTGAGTTTCTTTTTTGCATTGAATGTGTTGTATACAGCATACCATTGGATTTTCTTTCTTGATAATTTTGCCAGTGTTTGTGTTTTGATTGGGTAATTGAGACCATTCACATTGAGAGTTGTTGTTGTTGTTGTTGTTATTATTATTATTATTATTATCATTATTTTTTTTTTTTGGTACTGGGGATCGAACTCAGGACCTTGCGCTTGCAAGGCAGGCGGTGGACCCACTGAGCTAAATTCCCGGCCCCAAGAGTTATTATTAATAGGTATTTGTCTTATTACTGTCATTACCTTATTTTCATTTTGCTGATTTTCTGTCTTTCTCTTCTACTTTACTGCCCAACTTACCCGGTGTCTTCATACTATTGGACCTTTTGTCACTGTTAATGTCATTGTCTCTTTCTAGGATATCCTTGATAAATTTTTAGAGTGCTGGTTTGGTGGTCCTGAATTTCTTAGGTATTCTTTATCATGAAAATAAATTTTTTTCCATCAATTTTGAAAGATAGTTTTGTAGGATATATCAGTCTGGGTTGAAATGGTTTTCTTTTAGGACTTGGAGCACTTTAAACTCTGCTGGCCTTTAAGGTTTTTGTTAAGTCTAATAGGTTTCCTTAATAAGTGATTTTTTGCTTTTCTCTAACTGCTTTTAAGATTCTGTTCTTGTGTTGATTTCTGGGATTTTGTCTTGGAGAGGTTCTTTTCTGCTCATGACTATTTGGTATTCTGTCATATGCCTCACTTATATGTATGTTAAATTCTTTTCCCTCTTTTTCTGGTATTTCATATAAACAGGATTTTTATGACATTTGTGTTGTCTTCTGATTTTTCACTAATTCCAGTCTTATATTAATTTACAGTAATATCTAGGATCACAGATGCTTCTATTTGGGAACAGTTCAGTTTGCAAACAGAAATATTTGGCAAAATTTTGTCGCTGTCACAAACTACATTGGGTGACAAACACAACAACAGCCATCTTCTCTGCTGCAGCCATCTTCCTCAGAATCGTGGAACAAATTAAGTTTGAGAATCAAGATACCACTGTATCTTATTTGGTTCAGCTAGGAGCTGTTAGATCCGTTTTTCATGTTCTCCTGTTGTTTTTATGGTATCTTTCATTAATTGATTACTGACAAGAGCCCCGTCTTCTAGTTCTGACACCCTGTCCTCACATCAGTCACTTCTGCTGCCTGTACTTTTGATAGAATTTTTAATCTCCTGAATTTCTACTTGGTGCCTTTTATGGACTCTAATTCTTCTCTATGCTGATCACTCATGTTTGCATAATTTTGTTTAACTCATCTAGCTTTTTATTCATGTCTTTTATAGATTTGATAATTATTTTTCATTTGCCCAATATCTTATTACTTGTATCTTCTCTGAGCTTGCCAGATGCTTTATTGATCTGTTTTGTTATCTCCTTGATATCATTTGGAATAATTCTGGTATGTGACTTTTGTTTTCCTCCAGAGTTGGAAGGTTTTGGAGGCATTTTGTTGACCTCCCTTCTTATGTTTCTGTTTTTCATCTGTGTTGAGGCTTGTGGATTGATGTAGTGGGAAGCTTTGTTTCCTGTATGAAGACCTCTTTAGTTAATGTCTCCTTTTTGGTGATGTCCTCTGGACATGGCTAACTATTGGCCTTTGCCTATGTCTCAGGATCCAGCTGCTGCCATTTACTAGGGAAACCAGTTTGCAGCATATTTTGCCCAGTACTCACTTTTCCAGGAATGGGTGACAGTACTGTTAATGAACCCAGCACAATCCTGATACTGGCATCCCAAGAAAACTAATTAATGGCAACAGCTATGTTAACTTGGCTATAGTAATAAAATCACTATCAATTATAGTATCAAATACAAATTGAATATTGACAAACTCTAAGGAGCAATAATGTACCACTCTGGGCTGGGGATTTAGTTCAGTGGTGCTGCCACCTGCCTTGCAAGCTCAAGGTCCTGAGTTCGATCCCCAGTGCAAAGAAAAAAAAAAAGGACCACTCTTAACCATGAAAAAGAGATCTATAGTTGTACTGTGAACATTAACACAAACCAAATATTAACCTATTATTGACCTATAGTAAATATCTATTAAATAAAACAACTTTACCTCTACTAACAATAGGACAAAGTTCAACAGCAATAGCATAATGTTAACCAGGTATCTAGAGACTCATAAGGTTATGTAGTTATACTAGTAAAGGTAGAACACATGGGGAACCGGAGAATGAAAAAACCAAAATTTAGAAATTAATCAGTGACCTATGAGGAGAAAAGTGAGGGTGTCCTATTGAAGAGTAAAAGGTAATTAATAGTTAGAAAACATTTGCAGGAAGAATGAACAAGAAAAAGAAAAGATAAATACTGTAGTAGAAGCAGGAAATAAGGGAACAATAAGGAAAAGAAAAAAAGTTGAAAGAGAAAATGAGAAAGGAAACTAAAAGAGGAAAACAAAAAGGGAGGAAAAAACCCAAGCCCCCCCAGAATCCAACAAGGGAAAGATAAAAAAATAGAAAAATCAAAAAAGATTGAGTCAAAGAAAAAATTCTTGCATTTTTGAATGAGTAGTTTCTTTCCAAGACCTTCAGTCTTATCCATCCAGTCCCGCTTCTTTATGCCTGGCATTAGGGCCTATGGGTTTTTGTGCTTCCCTCCCTGCACCAGAGGCCCCTCTCTCTGTTTCTCTCAGATTGTGGTTATTATCCAAGTCAAAACATATCCTTGCTCCCATTGGTAGATGGGGAGTACAGTTAGGCCTCTGGTCTCTGCTGGATGCAGGGCAGGGGCTCCAGTGTGCTGTTGAACTTAATATCTGCAGTCATTGGGTCTGGCTACTCCCTTCTCTCCCTGAGCATTGTCCTTGTCCAGAATCAGGTCACTTGGTTAGTCCTCATCTCTGCTGCCCCCTGCCATGGGGAAGCAAAATGTAGAGCCAGCTTGGAGTTGGTAGATAATCATGCCCTTTTGTCAGGGGTGCGGTTATGTGAGCCTACTTATGGTGTTTGAGAGGGTGCTACTCATCTGGCATGGGGCTGCTTGCTTGTGAAGAGTGGGATTGCTACTCCTCCAGTGAGGCCTGCTTGCTTGCGTGGGGGAGAGATATTTCTAGTCCAGTTTGTGCCTGCTTCTACATTTTAATTTTTTATTTAAAAAATTCTTGCTTCTTGTGTTTGTTATTTATTTTAGTTTACACTTTTTTATTACATATAAATTTTTATTTCATTTTTCATGGACAGCAGATCCACTGGGAATTATTGTATCTGTAATTTGACATACTTTTTTTTTTTTTTTTTTGGGTACTGGGGATCGAATTCGGGTCCTTGTGCTTGCAAGGCAGGTGGCGGAACCACTGAGCTAAGTCCCTGACCCCAATTTGACATGCTCTCGATAGTAATTATATATTTTGCAAAACACCAACGTATCTTTATCCTTGAAAAATAATAATTGGATGACATAAGTAACCACCTTATTTTATCATCACTGTTGTTATCTTCTGCCTAATTAATATGCAAGTAACACTTGTAGGGCTAATGAATATCATGAGCATGAATGGAGAACTGTTAAGCTAAGGAATTATCTTTTTGTTTTTCAAGGTTGGCTGGGGAGTTTTTAAAGTCAAATTATTTGTTTGTTACTGTTGGACAAGTGGGTGGAGCATGTAGAGATGTTCAGCAGACCGTTCTCCAAGTTGCCCAGTACTCAAAAAGAGAAAAACTTGTTGAAATTCTACAAAATACAGGTATCTTATGTTAATATAATTATCTTTTGTCATGATTTATTTTTTAAAAAATGACTAATTTTTAAAAATCTCTAAAGAATTGTATGGTATATCTTTTAGTTTGTTTTATTTCCTCTTCTCTAAAGCTCTTTTAGAAAAGATATAGACTCAATTTTCTGTGTAAATTATATATATAATCTATCTTCCATAAAGGTTGAATATAGAAAAGATGTGAGATTTACTTTAAGAATATTTTACTAAAAATGATTGCAGCAGCAGTAGATATAATTTTTGTATAAAAAACTTTTAAAAACCAAATACTAATCTTGAGTTTGAGGTGTGAATAACTTCATCAGTGTTTTATAACATAGTAAAAGCATATAAAAATAGCTGTAAGCTGCTAGAGACCCCTGCAGTAAGTCTCTAGTTACCACCTGCTCGGTATGTGACACAAGGTCGAAGAAAAAAATACAACTAAAAACAGATCTAAGAGAGAAAGTGGTGACTTGGATGGCCAATGCTGGACCCCCAGCAAAAGACCTAGGTCAGTCATATTCACTGATTTTTATTGTTCATCAGTTGGGGTAAAGTTGTGATACATGTACAGATGTGCAATATGTGCAGTTACAATGGAAGTTAATGCAGGCAAGGCTTTAAGGAGAAGAGACAAAGCATTTTCAAATTAGAAGCAAGATAGACAAAATGTATGGTTATAATTAGAACAATGTCCTTCTAGCTATGCAGGCACTAATTGTGGGAATGGAATTTGGGTGCAAATTATTCTGACCTCAGCTACACATGCAGGGAGGTCACATTGACCTGTGTGCTACTACTGCAGTGCTAATGAGATGCTTCTGTGAGTCATGTAGCTTCAGTCAGACTTGCTTCTTAAAGTAAGCCAATTGAAGGGTTTAACTCTTTATAGCCTGCACTGCTTACAGCATGCTTTGGGCATAATCTATGTTATGGCTTCCTGCAATGAGCAAGATACTGTTCTAATTGGTTTATATGTCTTAACTTATTTAATTCTCAAAACAACCTTATGAGGTAGGTTTTGTCATTGTCTTCATTGTGGGGTTGAGCAAACTGAAAAATCCAAGAGGTCAAGGGAGTTGCTTTGGCATTAACTCAAGTTTCAGGTGCAGAAGGGATATTATTTGGTTTTGCTGAAGTTAGAACATGTTTTTGTTGTTGTTGTTTGTTTTTGGTTTTTTTTGGTACCAGGGATCAAACTTGGGACCTTGCAGTTGCGAGGCAGGCGCCGGAACCAGTGAGCTAAATCCCCAGCCCCCTAGAGCATATTTTTAATAATAGTTACTGAAAGATTTTCAATATATAAATTGTGGAATCAGGTTTTTTGGGGGAATAATTTAAGGAGAGTTTTTCAGAAGTGCTGGTTTCCCTTTGAGAAAAAGTCACTATATAGAGAGAGCATTATTGATAGGTTTCTGAATCATTTAAACCTAAATTTTATGTCATTTAGTGTTCATTGTTCTTGTGCATGCTATCAGATTTTACATTGTTTGTTCATGTAATTTATCTCCTTTTCTGGTCTTTCACTTAATTTTACTAACTATCTCCCTGCGGCCTTTAAAATGCATAATTTCATTATTTCAGAAGTATAACCACCTATCTTTTATAATTTAAATTTTTAAGTCAATGGGAATCAAGGATTTTATTGACCTCTTTAATTATCAAAGGAACCAGTAAGATGTTAACAGTTTAAAAGAAAATTTGTTTTTCTTTTACTTTGTATTTTTCTGAGACAAGGTCTCACTCTGTAGTTCAAGCTGACCTTGAACGCAGTATGGACCCCAGTGTAGCCTCAAACTTGTGATCCTCCTAACTTAGCCTCTTGAGTGTAGTGATTACAGGTGTGTACCACCATGTCTGCCTACAGTTCAGAGGAAAATTTAAAGAACACATTTATATATAAGTTATTGGGGATGCTAAAATTATTTTACAAATAGATGTAAAACTGGTCAATATCTATAAAACAATAAGCAATTATATTGGAGGGGAAAATTCCATTTGCATTTTTACTAAGAATCTTTTGCATTGCTCTCAGTTGCAATGAGTTATAGATTAAAGATGATAAAAGGAATAAGTCCTTGAAAGGTTGCACTAGACAGTGATCTTTTATGCTCATTTCAAAGTCTTCCACATTTTTTCCTGACAGTCTGTATCCACCTCATGATCATCATAATCTCAGAGGCTTGGTTACAAGGAAGGTTGATCTTAAAATGTTTGGCTTACTTTCATCATTGCAACAAGACTGTTCGTTAACAATTTAAACCTCCAGTTTGTCTTGCAAATGTAAAGTCATAAATGTGGTATTGAATTACAAAATTAACTCTTGTCTGAGAGTTTTCTCTTTTTTTTGGTCTTGGGAATCAAACTCAGGGCCTCCTGCTTGCCAGGCAGGCGCTGCACTGCTGAGCTACTTCCCTGGCACTTGTCTGGGAGTTTTAATAAGAATTTTGGATTGAACTTTTAAAAGCCTCTATTCTTGGAGCTGGGGATGTAGGTCAGGAGAGTGTATGTTTAGCATGTACAAGTCCTCAGGTTTGATCCCCAGCACATTAAAAACAGTCTATTCTTTTGCTTTGTGTGGGATAGGAAATTAAGTAACAGACTTCTACCAATTTTCACCTCCAAATACCTAGAAATTTTAGTAAATTTCTTTCTTCGAATGGTCTTAATGTTCCTGGCCTTTCAGGAAGTGTGGCTTTCCTTATACCTTCCAAGACTGGGCCATATAAAACAAGTACCAGATCAGTTTATCTGGGAGAGCCTTGGTAGGTGTTGGTTTTATAAGGAAAATCAATCTTTGTTTCTTTGAAGTATCTGATCCTACCTACTGTGCCATTTTCAAATATGAATTCCATTCAAGACCTTAATTGCTCAATCTATTTGTCCATTTACATTCTCTTAAAAGACAGAAGACAGATTCTTACTGAACTAATGCAGAAAAACTATACTACGTTAGCCATGAAAAGTAAGAAAACTTACTAAGAGTTTTTGAATTTGGGTTGGATGGAATGTCAGAAGCAAGATCAAGATAATACTATAAAATGTTTCAGTTTGGTTTACAAAAGCAGTCTAAATGGGTTATACTGGGCAAAGAAGAAAAAGGCTTCCTGATCAATCAAGAAAATAGAACATTAAAATATTGACAATGTTTGAAGCAATGAAACAATAAGATCTCCTCTTGTCAACTCATTCAGTTCTTATATAATTCTGTCTCGTTGAATCCATTAGGAATCTATTTGATTATCTTCGGCTTCTGGATTATTTGTAGAAATCTTCCTCAGTCCAGTAGTATGGTCTGAAAGTTGTGAAAGCAGTGTCAACATAGAACTCTCTTACCCAAGACTGTATTCTTTGAAGTATCAATAATTTGCTTGGTACAGTGCTTTTTCACAAGTCTAGGGTCTTACATCTGTAGCTTATAGCACTGCCTGTGGAAAATCATCAAAAGAAAACAACTATAGACAAAAGTTTAACGACTGTGGTTGCTGGTATTGTTAATATGGAATGTCTGATGATGGTTAATAGGAATAATGCTACTGATAAAGAAATTTTTTTCTATGAAATCCAAAATAAAGGTAATAAAGCTATTCTAAAAAACTTGACAGAATGTCTCTAATGATGATAAGCCTATTTTCTAATAAGTATATCAGAGTTATGAAAATGGGTAGATATAATTTTTCATACCAAGAATGTCAAGTAAATAGATCCACCAAGTGTAGAATAGAGTTCAGACATCTATATTTTCACAGAATTCCATGTGTAAGTCTGATCTACATTCCTAGTTAAGATCTATTGACTTAGAAGATGCTAGATTCAAATGAGGAAAAACCTAAGGTTGTAGCAAAATAAACATCTTGAATAATACATGAAATTATGAGAAGTAATACTATACTGTTCCATCAGGCAGTGTAAAAAAGGAAAACTTTGTAGAATTATTTCCTAAGGATTTTAATCAGTGTTTCTCTTGAAGTTCAGAAACATACAGTGAAGGAATTTACAAATCTCCAGGATCTTCCCATAAAATAATACGTTTGAAATATATGAACATTTTATCTATGCTGTTAAAAATCTTAGTGTCTCTTCTGATTTGCCAGTTCTTAGATTGGTAGCGCATCAAATATGTAGTTATTTCTGGCATCTCTACTTTTACATGGTGAAATAATCTCTGTACTTATACTAGGGCTCTCAGAAATTTCATAGGTGGTTTAGGAGGATTTATTTTTCTAAATTTGTGCTCTGATCTTTTTTTGTAGTGCTAGGGATTGAAGCCAGGGCCTTACATATACTAGTCAAGTACTCTACCACTAAGGTATACCCCCCCAGCCCTATAATTTGATCTTAAAAAGGCAGATCAAAAGAGAATTGAACCTTGTATCTGAGAAACAGTATTTGGCTACCAGTTTAATTCAAATGACAATAAAGCATTTAAAGATAGATGTACACGTTAACATGGTTATAAATAACCACAACTCTTAAGCAGATTTTTCCTCATTTATTCTCTTTAATTGAAAGACATAATAAAGTCAGCTGAATCTCTGCTATCTAGGTTAATTACAAGCTTGATAACCTTTCATATTGTAAGTAAAGGCATTAAACACATCCATCCAAATTGAGTGAATTATGCTAACGTTTTAACATATTTCATAACTTCATACTCAAGTGTTTAAATCAGAACAAATAAAATTCAGTTTTATCTTTCATTGTGCGTTTTCAGTATTCTGGAACATACTGACTCTATACAACAAAAACTAAGTCTTTCTAGAGTCCCTAACATCTCTAAAGGAGTCTGAAAAGTCAAAAAAAATTTTCATAATTACACTAAAATTGTTTCTTTTTTTTTTTTTTTTGACGAGGGATCGAACTCGGATCCTTCCGCTTGCAAGGCAGGCAGTGGAACCACTGAGCTAAACCCCCAGCCCCCTAAAATTGTTAAATATGCACTGTGATCAAATAAGTATTTAAATTTTCTTGGTTTTAATTTTTAATATGGTAAATAATACCAAGAGTTGTAACTGATAACAGAAAATCTGGAATTGTCACTAATGTTTTGAGTTTAAAGGTGACATAGATCAAAATGCTTTGAGAGTCGTCACTTTAGGAAAAACCTTTTTTTCTTGAAAAACAAAACCACAAATAGTTTGTGTTCTTTTGTCACTATTCATAGTATAGTTGTTACCACTTAGGTTAATTATGACTTGTAACCATAGTAACATCTGTTTTATAAAGGAAACTGGGCACAAGGATGGTATTGAGAGATGTCATACTCAAGCATTGTCTACTGTTTTTAAGTTACATGAAAGTTTTGAAAATTATTTTCAAGATGACATTCTTCAAAACATAAATGTCATGGAGTAATGAGTCATTTTAGTTGAATACAAGTTTATATGTTGTTATTCTTAAACAGTATACAGGAATAGTTTAAGCTTTGACTAGTTTGTCTCTATATGAGGAAAACAAAACCCAAATAGAATGATATTTGTATGATACTTAACATTGATACACAGGAGAAAGGATGTGATGTTTTCATAAAACCAAAGTTATTAAATTAGTCTCATTTACCAAAGACTTCAGTTAATTATTTTAACCTGGTTCCTTAAAATGTTTCCTTTTCTTCCCTTCTTCTCCCCATCTTAGTATAGGGAGTGAGCCCAGGAAAAGCAGTCTTTACCACTGAGCTCCATCCCCAAGCTTCTTAAAATGTTTCTGATTTAGTTCCTGTAGTAAGATTTTTCCAAGTTGTAATGCAGTTAAAGTATTACAATTCAATTTCATTTTCTGAGAATAGGAGTATTTTTCTTGAAAACATTTTAAATTTTATTCATCTCTATAAACCAATCAGAATAGTGCTTCTTTAAGAGACTTTATAATTTAATGTGTTAATAATCCCATAGAGTATTAACATAATAATTTCACAGTGATAGATAACTTTTTCTGAATTAAACACGTAAAGAGCTTATAGCTTATAGCTTAAGTTCTACTACTTTAGCCATAAGTTGAATGAATACACAAATACAAAAAATTATAATTTAGCTGCCAAAGTAGGGATTTTTTTAGAGTCTTGATTTTAGTTTACAGTGGATAAATACAGAAAAAATAGATATTCTGTATTCTCAATCGACAGAGAATAACTATAACTCATTAATCCATCCACAGAGAGTACCAGCTGGTCTCTTCATGAAACTATGCATTTATTGCCGGCCCTAATAGGAAATAGTTTATTATCTGAACTAGAACCAATAGAAAATCAGGAGAGAGGAAAAAAACTGGAGAAAGAGAGCTGAGTTACTTTTTATTGCCAGTTGGGATTAACAATGCAAACCAAGAAAAGTGAAACCAAGCCTTAAGCTGCATAGCAGTGCTATGTATCTGGCTCTGTTTTATCAATCAGTTTTGACATTGGCTATCTTGTTGGATAACTTCCAAAACAATGAAAGATAATTTTTGGTAAAACATAAATTCATTAAATATAAAATGATCATGTCTCAGAAATTTAACTCATATATTATTGTGGGAACTAGTTGCTTTTTTGATTTGTCAGCTTGGTTGTCTGAGGCAAACGTGAGTTAGTGTTAGTTTCCATTCTTTCTGTTGCTGAGGTACATCATCTTGGAGTCATCCTTGATTTCTTTCTCTAATTACACACCTGACCTGTTAGTATAGTTAGTTCTCTTTGTTCTACCATCAGTATCTATCTAGACAGCAGTAACTGCAAAGATCATGTTACTTTGCTCAAAACCCCATGGCTTCCCATCTCTGAGTAAAAATATTGTCAGTGGCCTTCAGGGCCCTACATGATGTGTCCTCAATTACTTTTCTAACTTCATCTTAATAACTCCTTTCTCTTGACCCTACCTATTATACTTGGTCATTATTATTCCTCACATACAGACACACTTCTGCCCCTGTGATTTTGTACTTGCAGTTTCGTTGTACCCAGAAAGTAGTGTTTTTTTAAAGGATGAAAACACTTAATATTTCAGAGCCTATATTCTTGTTCTCCCCTCTGCCTCTGCTCTTTCCCCAGTATCTGAACAGTTCATTATCTTTATTTTTATCTCTATTCAGATACCATCTAATTACTCTATCTAAAGTAACCTTCTTCGGATCTTGATCCTTCTGATTTTTCTTTTTAAGACTTAATGCATATTTATTTGCTTCTTCACCATGAGAGCAGGGGCTTTATTTTTGTTTTCTAACACCTAGAATAGTGATGAGAGTCTGGTGGGTACTATGTATTTATAAAATACGTGAATGAATGAAGTGAGCTAATGGTGGGATGGGAGAGAGTGGTTATGAACAATAATATAACAAGTATATATTTCTTAACGGTTAAGATCCTGGACTTAGGCTGTCATTTAACTTTTTAGATACATATTTTGGGAATGAAAGGATATAAATTAAAATCCATGTTGGAATATTATAATCAAATTATAATCCATGTTGGAACATGGATTATAGAGATTAGCAGCCTTGGGTCAGATGCCACTATTATAAAAACCTCAAGCAACAAAGGCAGAATGAAAGATTGGATTATCTTTAGAAGTAGAGATAGTAAAAACAGAAAATGAAAGGGAAGGTAGAATGGATTGAGACACATTTTAAACTACTAAGAGTTGATAGGCAGTCATTAATTACCTTTCCCTAAATCTTTATTTTCCTGAGTTGGCCTGGGAGGAAACAAGGCAAGCTATTTTTTAAATTCCTAAGCTAGGAAAATAATCCTTATCTCTTTATCTTTGGCATTCATCCATTCAGGAAACTTTTGACTCCCTCGGGTGTACCAGTCCTACCTCTGGCTGCTGTTAGTACAGTGGTGGATGAGATAGTTTCTTACTTAGATGTACTCCTTTTTCTTTTTTCTATCTTTATTGTTTGTTAATCATTGTTTTGTAGGTGTTGAAAGAACTATGGTCTTCGTTGAAACTAAGAAAAAAGCGGATTTTATTGCAACCTTTCTTTGTCAAGAAAAAGTATCAACTACAAGTATTCATGGGTAAATTAATAAGATTCCTAGTAGAAGAATGACTTTTGTTTGGCATTAAAGAAACATTAGTATATAGAGAGTCATGCACCACAATGTGTTGGTCAATGACAGATGGCATATATGGCAGTGGCTCACTACAGTTATATCATTTAGTGATGTCATAGCCAACTTAGTTTGTATAAATGATACGGTGTAAATACACTCTATGATGTTTACACAGTGGGGAAATAACATAATGACATGTTTTTCAGAACATGTCTCCATCATTAAGCAGCACATGATTATACCTAATATGACATAATCCTAGGATTCAGATTTAGAATTCTCTCAAGATCTCAACTGTTAACTATTTTTATTATTTTTCTCTCCTTGCCCCAGTAAAGTGCACCACCTAGGAGGCTTAACTGTTATTTTTCATCTTCATTCTTAGTTTTTATAAGAATGGTGACCATGGCCAAGTTGAAATCTGTCTGCCTTAGGCTTCTCATTATGAAGAATGGGAATATCTTAAGAAATTTCACTTAAGGATCTCTAGGTTATCTAAGTATTTCCTCTGTTGACTGTAATCTAATGCCTCCCCTGTTTTGTTTGATTGTTTTGTGTGTGTGTGTGTGTGTGTGTGTGTGTGTGTGTGGTGGAGGGTGCTTAAAAATGTCCTATCAAACCAATTGTATTGGTACTTTACTAGTGGATCTAAATTGTCACTGAGTATGTAGAGCTCTGAATTTGTACTTCAAAAACTCTTTTTCTTTTATGAGAAAATATTTTAACAAAGTAGTTGTATATTTTTTGTCAAGCCTAGAAAGCAAAGGGATTATGAATAGGTAGGATTTGACCTTTGTTATACTTGATATCTGTATATGAGCTATTATCTTACATCAGCTGCAAATAGGGTTAATTGTTCCAACTTAGTATTGTGAAGATAAAATTGGGGCTTAGAAGGGATTAGTCGTAGTACCTGGTATGTAAGGAGTAGATATTAAGTTCTGCTATTTTTATTATTTAAAATTTGTATATTGAACTTTAGTGATTTTCTTTTTTTTAAAGTAGTTCTAATACAAGCCTCCTTTTCTTTTAAGTGACCGGGAACAGAGAGAGAGAGAGCAAGCCCTTGGAGATTTTCGCTGTGGAAAGTGCCCAGTTCTTGTTGCTACTTCAGTAGCTGCCAGAGGGCTGGATATTGAAAATGTCCAACATGTTATCAATTTTGATCTTCCTTCCACCATTGATGAATATGTTCATCGAATTGGGCGTACTGGGCGTTGTGGGAATACTGGAAGAGCTATTTCCTTTTTTGATCCTGAATCAGATAATCATTTAGCACAGCCTCTAGTGAAAGTGCTGTCGGATGTAAGTTTAAGTATCATTAAAAATTTTTTTTGATAGTGCTGGGGATCAAATTCAGGGCCTTACGCATGCTGGGAAAGCACTCTATTACTGAGCTGTAATCCCAGCCATCCAGATATAAGTTTGAAAATTGTAAAATCAAATGGATTTTACATTTCTTTATTGATGAGACATTTGTTCTTACTGTTCTTTCTTTATTGTTGAGACGTTTTATGCATATGTATAAAAAGTAAGCTTTTCCAGTCTTTTGAGACTTAATGTTGCATATGAATTTTTTTTTAAAGGCTCAACAGAATGTTCCTGCATGGTTGGAAGAAATTGCCTTTAGTACATACGTTCCTGGCTTCAGTGGTAGTACAAGAGCAAATGTGTTTGCATCAGTTGATACTAGAAAGGTTAGTTGAAGGGAAAAATTCAGAGCTTGACTTCGAGTTAAAATGTTGTGATCAATATGGTTAACTATAGCATTCAGTAATTAAACTATTATTTTCATGCCTACAAGGTAAATTATAAAATTTTATGTATATATATATATATATTTTTTTTTGGGGGGGGGTTTAAAGGCAAGGAATTAACTTTGTTATACAATTGTCTTCCCTTTCTGAGTTTATTGGAGATTTTAAATTCTAATTTGGGATCTCCTGAGCTTTCTTAAGACTTTTAATTTTTTAATTTAAAAAATTTTGACCACATTAAGACAAAATGCTAGAGCTATGGGACTGCAAGTCTTTTTGTTAGTTTTCATGCAACGAACATACAAATTAAATGTTTATGCTTATTTGTCAAAGTGTAACATTAAGTTTTTCCACTTGGCAAAAGAAGTAGCTTAAAAATCTTGAATTATTTTGACAGTTTAGACTTCTGGTTTGATATGGGCCTTTTGTCAAGTGAATCAGATTTAGTGAGAATGAAGGTATATATATATATATATTTGGGGCGTAGAAGGTGGAAAGCTTGAATTCCTGTTTTCAGCATGGGTAATGCAATTTTATAGCTGCCATAACCTAAATTTTTCTTTTCTTTCTTTCTTTCTTTTTTTTTTTTTTAAGAATTACCAGGGCAAGAGCACTTTGAATACAGCAGGGTTTTCTTCACAAGCTCCCAATCCAATTGATGAAGATTCATGGGATTAAAGCTAAAAAAACATGCTTCAAGTGTGTGGTACAATTTTGATGCAGAGAAGACAGTAGTTTAGATTTTTAAATTTTAAATGGAAGTGTGAAACCTGACATTCTCTTGTTATTCTTTTTTGTTTGTTTGTTTTTGGTACCGGGGATCAAACTCAGGACCTTGTGCTTGCAAGGCAGGCGCCAGAACCATTGAGCTAAATCTCCAGCCCCATTCTCCTGGCATTCTGTTCTTCCACCCTTTAAAAAAAATCCTTACTGACTTGTTAAGTGAAATGCTAAAAGTTAGAATGTTGCAGTTACCGATACAAATGGTGTTAACTGGAAATATTAAAGGATTCCAAATCTCTTGCTTATTTCTAGAATATTCAGGCAATTTAGATAAGTTGCGTGTCTAAGTGCTGTATTAGTATGTTTATTGTTTCTATAAAAACAATAAGATTGATAAGTATTTGTTTAAAAATTATTGGCTCTCAAGTCTACTTGAGCCTTTAAAGCAATAGCATATCACTATAATGTGATTTTTATGAAACAGTGGAAGACTGAAGCCTGTCAGGGTGATTTTGATTTTACATCATCAGATGTGTGTTGCAAATGGTTAAATGTTTGCAACACGATCTCTGTACTCAATGGCATAACAAAAATTTTTTGGTAATATGCACTTTCCTTGGAAATAAAAGATTCAACACATTTTTCCCAGAGTTTTCCATTTGCATGTTTAATTTTTTGTTACATATCACAGTTCTCAACTCTTACATTTTGAAATTCTCATTGCGTCTTGTGAAACCAATGCAGTGAATAAAGTCTTACACAAATATTAACGTATACTACACAGATGTGGTAATGAAAATCAGTCTTCAAACTCAAACCTAGTTAATAAAAAATGCTGTTCACTTTTGCCATAATTCTGATTCATATTTTAAAATTGATGAGGAAAAGAACCTTGCCTTTTTCGTTCACCATTGTACAGCTTGAACCTACTATGACCAGAATAAAAGTTGTTGAATGATCTCAAACATTGACATGAAACAAGTTAAATGTAAATATTGTTGAGACAAAAATGATTAGTTTTTTACTATTCATCTAACAATTTCAAGTAACAAGTCTCCAGTGTGTATCTTGGTATATGAATTTAGTTAATAAAGTGTCACGTATGCAAAATGAAAGGGTTATTCAACAGATAGTGTGAGAATAATTGGTTAGATGCCTACCTCCTGCCATACTCAATATTAATTCCATCTGAACTATGAAAAATTCAGACTATAAAATACAGTGTTAAGAAGTTTTAAATTGGGGATAAGGTTTGATTTTAAGCTCCAAGGTCAGAAATCACAAAGGAAAAAACAGATTTGAGTAAAAGGGAATATGAATATGTGTGTGTGTGTGTGTGTGTATGAAACAGAACCATGCCTGGAGTTGTTTATCATTGTGTGGTTCTTTATATGTGAATGTGTAGATACACTGATAGATAAATGCAGAGAGGACATAAATAGACAACTCAGAAATTCAAAAACGTCTGGAAAATGTTTTACTCTGTAATGAGTCTGGGAAAGACTGAAAATGTTTACATTGTTATTTATAATATCTGTTTTATTAATTTTGTCTAATTTGTATTATTTACAAAGAGCATTTATAGTTCATTGCTTTTTATTTTCCTTTTAGTCAAAGCTTCTTGGTCATAGCTGTCCTGATTGCTTTTTAAGTTTTTTATTTTACCTGATTTGTCAGATTACCATCAAATGCATTGCTACATCAACATAAAGATGGAAAAAAATCGTGTGTAATCCTAACACCATTATAGATTAACTGAAAATATCTTTATGTTCAGTTATTTTCCCATCTCTAGGTACAGGTTTGAATGATTTCTTTAAAAATTATCAAAGTAACATATCTAAGATTAGAAAATAAAATCCTAGAAATACTTATAATAGGAATTTTTTTGGCCCTTCTTTTCCGAATTGCCATCCCACATCCCATAATCACCAGTTTTTAACCATTCTTAACTGTTTCCATCATATATATGTGTATTTTTGTCTACCATGTTTAGACATATATTAACTTTCTGTTTGGTAGATAAGGATTTAACTTACCTCTCTTTAACTCACCTTAGAAGTATACTTTATGAGATGGTATTAAAAGTACCCTTTTTCTTCCATTTTTGTTTTTACATTGTAAATCTGTAAATTATGCATTTACTTTTCCAAAGCTAACATATGCATTCTGTCCTATACCCATAAAATTTCTTTTTTATCTATAGGTTGATTTTAAAAATGAAACTCAGTAGCCAGTGTTTACATTTGTTTATGTAAATATTCACTGGATGATGATAGGCCAGTTAACAGATCCTTTATCTTTCCTTTTTTGACCTCTGTGTGTGTGTATTTTTCCGGAACTGTTGAGTCAGTTCTCTATATCATACCTTTCTTTAAAAAAAATTTTTTTTGGTTATGTTCTGGTAGGTTTCTTTTTTTTTTTCCTATACTGAGGATCAAGCCCAGGGGCACTCACCCTAGCCCTTTTTATATATTGAGATAGGGTCTTGCCAAGTTGGCCAGCTTGCAAATTGGCCTTGAACTTGTTCCTTCCTCAGCCTTTCAAGTAGCTGGGTTTTTAGGGATGTGTCCACATGCCCAGCTTTTTACTTTAATATTTTTTGAAAAGCAATTTTAATCTTCAAGGGCTAACTTATTTTTCCCCCAAATGTTTCTTATTAGTGTATGTATTTTCTGCTTCATTAGTACTTAATTCATGAAATTTAACCTAAGAAATAAGTGTTTTACACTGAGCATCTTCTCCCGCTGCTTAGCTTCAGGAATCTTAAGCCTTCATCATTTTACAAGTTATATGTATATTTAACACAGCTCAGGGTTCGCTTTAGTCAAGTGCAGCAGTCTGTCCCATGTTTGTATCTTTCCTTTCATCTCTCAATCTAATGTCCTTTCTCTAATTCTATTCAAAGTCCCCTCAAGAGAAAGCCGAAGCTCAGATGGGACTGATAAGGTTAATTTTTTCCCCCGAATCCTTGCATTGTAGTAGGAGCAAAAGAATGGCCCAAACTATACAACTCAATATGGAGTAGGAAGCATCAACAGTATATAACAGCGCTTTTAGAAGAATGGTGGTGCAGTAGGGAGCAAAGACGAAGGATGGACCTGATTTCACACAGGGTGGATAACCTACCTTTTTCTACCTGTCCCTGGGGTTTGGAGGCGATTTAGAAGTGGTTTTCCTGACTTTAGTGTTAAGCATTGGTTACATTTCTATATAGGGGAGCAGTACTGGTGAGCTTACCCATTCCCCTTTTCCTGTAGCTTCACACTTGACTGAGTAGTTGCCTCTGTTGCTCTTATTTGAGTGATAGCAACTTTTCATTGTTATGACCTTGATTTTTAAACGTGTTGAAAAGGGTACCTGTTTTATTCTTTTGAAGCATTTGAAGGTCGTTTTAAAACTTAAGCGACTTGCTAGTAGCTGTTCATACTGAGTCCAACTAACTTGAGATGCCCCCCCCCCCCCCCGCACCAGACTGAACCACATTTTCACTAGTTTCTCTTCTTAGTACAAATTAGTACTGAATGGAGTCTCCCAGTTCCCTCTGGCTGTGACGATCTAGCCAGGAAACAGCCAAGCCTGGGCAGCCTGGCTGCTGCTGAGTTCTAAAACTACTGTTGGAGCTGCCGTTCTGAGAAACTGTTTTCGCCTGTGTCCCGGGCTTTTGAAGTCGTTGCTCAGGGACGACCCTGACCCAGTGGTCCTTCCGAGCTCACAGACCTGGCTGCAGGAGACTTCCTGGGTTCCTGGTTTGCAGCAGGAGTTTGAGCAGGTAGGATTTGGAGAGTTCATGGAGCCGGAAGCCCAGGCTGATTGCATCCAGTGAGTGGCGCTGCGTGTGTGTGGGGCGGGCGGAGAGGGAGGATGACTGGCACCACAGGTCTCTGGTTTTGTTACAGGGTTCTCTTTAGAATTGCGGTTCCTAATCCTGTATAACTATAGACTCGAGTTTTACATTTTAAAAAACAATTTATCAGTCTCTTCAACAGAGACAAATAGACCCATACAGAGTCTCAGAACTGCTAATTAAGACTCCCTGCTCTGGAAATAGATGATGCTATGAGGGAGGATCTCATGTTGAGAGGACGGGAACAAGGTGTTTAGAGGCACTAGCGCTGGAAAATGAACAAATGAGATTTGCACCGAGTTTAAGAGTTGGCAACTGAAGTACATTCTTTAGTCCTTAAGTAATTATTTTATAATTTTTTTTCATGTTTGCAGTACCTAATGATTACATTCCTCTTGGGGAGTTGATACATATACATAACTTCTTGATTCTTTTTCTTCCTCCTCTCTCCATTTCCTCCCACCTCATGCCCTTCATCTTTTGGTCCCTTTCCCCACATTTTTTTTATTAGTACATGTTTGTGATGCATAATGATTACATTTATTGTGGGAAGTTGGTACACATAAGTAAGACATCTTCATTCTTTTTTCTTCCCTTCCTCTTTCAACCCTCCCCACCACCTAAACTCCTACATTTTTTTGTCTAATTTTTTTCATCCCCTTTCCCTCTTCTCCCTTCCCCTCCCTCCATCTCTCTTGTTCCCCCTCCCTGCTTTCTGTTATCTGTCCTCAATCTTGCTCCCTCCTTATATTGTGGGGGAATTCTCAGATAAGAGAAACAATGAGATATTTAAACTTGTGTGTCTGATTTATTTCACTTAATGTTATGGTCTTAGGGTGAATCCATTTATTACAGATGCCTCAGATTTATCTTTATGACAGAGAAGTAAGTACTCCATTGTGTATAAACACCACATTTTCTTTACCTGCTCATCTGTTGATGGCATATAGGCCATTTCCAAGATTTAGTGATCATAAATTATGCTGCTATAAACTTAGATATGCAGTATCACTATAATATGACTCTTGGGAAGATAACTAGAAGGAGCAGAACTGGGTCAAATGGAATTCCTAGGTTTAGTTTTTTGAGATATCTCATATTGATTTCCATAGTGATTGTACTAGTTTACATTCCCATCAGTAGTATAGAAGGGTTCCTCCCTCTCCTCTAGCTTTGCTAGCACTTGTCATTATTTGATTTCTTGATAATATCATTCTTTCTGGAATAAGATGGTATCTCAGTGTTGTTTTAATTTGGATTTCTACATTGGCTAGAGATATTTAGCATTTTAAAATCTATTGGCCATTTGTACTACTTTTGAGAAGTGTATATTTCAGTTGCCCATTTTCTGATTGGGTCTTTGGCCAGGGGTCTGATTTTTTTGAGTTTTTATATATTCTAGGTATGAGTACTCTATCTGAGGATTTTAAAAAATCATCCTGTTGATTATTTTTTCACCGTTGGTTGTTTGCTTTGCAGAAGCTTTTGAATTTGATATGATCCCATTTGTTGATTCTCAGTATTATTTCTTGTGCTATTAGGGGGGTCTATTCATGTGTATGTCTTAAAGAGTTTTACCTATTTTATCCTCCAGCAGATTGTTTGTGTTTAACATTTAGATCTTTTATTCATTTTGATTTTAGTTTAGTACATTATGAGATATACTGGTTTGGACTCAATCTTCTGCATGCGGATATCCAATTTTCCCAGCACCATTTATTAAAGACGCTTTCATCCTGTGTATGTTTTTTGGACCCTTTGTTAAAGATCAAGTAACTGAATGCACCTGGAGTTGTTTCTG